GGTTATCTACACAGCAGTATGTCACTAGGAGTTTTTATTGTCATGCCCACTTTCATTTAACAGAATAATAGTGTTAGGTTTTCCCCTAGACCCACCACATATGTAGTCCATGTTTCTGGTCACTTCAGCAGTTTCAGTATGGGTTCCATCTCATGGAGTGGGCCTAAAAGCCAACTAAAACATGGTTAGTTTCCCCAATAACATATGCGCCACTACTATCCCAGTCTATCCTGCAGACATATTGCCATTTTTCACAATATAAATCTTCTTGATCTTTTTCATTTGTCTTTTTGTTCAAGTTAAGACTAATAAATTATATTAAATTACAAACCATGGAAGCTTTTATTGAACCTAAGTAGCCAGGAAAACAAAAGAGGTGTCAGGTAATGACTAATAAATGGTATATTTGGTCAATTTCCAATTATTCAGTTGCCATCATACCAATATCCCTATTTTCATCACACTTGTATATACTTGTTGTACAATATGTAACTTAATTTTGCTTAAAAAGATGTTTTTTTTTAAAAAATTCATAATTCCATGCTGAGGACTGGACTGATCCAAGGTTTTCTCTGAGGCCCCATGTGTGGAGAAAGAACACAATTCCTCTTCTAAAACTAGGAATAGGCTTGGCACAGCCAGTAATGGCCTGGGGCCAGAGCCTTGAGAGTGCCGTGGCTTTGGATACTGAAAACCATTTTTTTCCACCATGCTGAGCTAAGGTTGCTTATCCCAGAGCCCCTATGTGCTTCATCTATAGTATTCTTGAGATACCCTGTGTTCCTTACGCAACATTTCCTGATTTTCTTCATTCCGACTTCATCCCATTGTATGATAGTTCCTGCTAGCACTGTCCCATTTCTGCCCTGAAAATAGTGTATAAGATGCTCTTCTTAGTGAGCTACCTTGTCAGAAGACATAGCTTGCGCAGAACATAATCCCAAACTTTCGTATCCCCTCATCTCCTCGTCTTCTCTCTCAGGACCCTGTCACTGAAGGAGAAACTGCTGGTCCAGGTCATTTCTGTATTTAACAACTCACTCACTGGTTCTATTATCACATGAATAATTAAACTTAAAAAGTTTGATGAAAAAAAATCCTCAATAGGTAAACTCACTGTATTAAAATGATTTTAGATGTGAGTTTAATCCCTCATATATGTACCTCTTCCATTATACTGTAAAACCTCTCAAAAACAAAAACAAAAAAATTCCAGGAACAAGGCATTGAAGGCACTGAAGAGACATTCTTTAGCACACTCTGCAAAAGATTGTTTAAACAGACACATAAAGACCTGTGGGATGGTGAGTCACTGTGTTCTGAGAATGCCTGGCAGGCTGACAGGTGTGACTGTGGCCTCTGTCTCAGCCCCTGGGCCACTGGAGTATGCCAGGCAGCTCCAGCATTTGCTTTGGATCCCTGCTTGAAGGATTTGCTTCAGATAGTATTTAACTTGAACATTCTACCCTTAGATATTCCAGTGACTTCAGTTCTTTTGGGCCTGTCCAAAATCACCTCCTGGAAGAATATTTACAAATACCATTATCTCCTGGGTGTTCCTAATTGCTTACATTGTTTTTCTTTTTTTTTCTATAACACTAAATATAAAGTTATTCTTGTCTGTCAATTTTTTAATTATTTATAATGGATTTCTGCCTTTTCCACTAGTGTGTGTAGTCCAAATGATTCAATATCTTTGTTGGTTTTCATTGATACAACCAAATGCCAAGAATACTACCTGATGGCCTATAGATACTCAAAACTTCTTTGAATGAATAAACTGGGAGAGCCTGTTTTTTTTTTTTAATAGGGCTAAAGAAACCTGAAAATTTTCCATCATCTCCCACAGCCCACTAACTGCAAGAAGCCTCACTAACACTGAGTACACACCCCAGCAGGGAGGTTCCAGGACATGTCATTACCTGACTCTCTGTAAGTCACTCTTTCACAAGCCTGTCATGTGGCCTGCAATGGCCTGCTTGGTCTCGGGAGAGTCCATGTGTCACCATTGGGTGTTGCAATCTCCCACAGCACCGAGGCTGGGATCTTGAGGATTGAGAGCAATTTAAATGTGTTTTGAATATGACAATAGATGAACATTGAAGAAATTGGAATTTTCTTTAATGCAATCAAGAAATGACACGGAAATTATGTGCCATATTCTGACTTCATTCTTCACTATTCTATTTTGGCATTTTCATGGAGAAAGTTACGCATATGGGATTAAAATAAACAGAGAACAGGCAGCTTCTATCTGAGAAAGAATCTCTTCATATTGATTTCAAGGACGAGTCAACCAAATATGATTGTTTGCCCCGAAGAGCTTTTCTCTTAGAAAATATTGTTTGCTTACATTGAACTCCATGGTAGACCAGAAAAATTCAAGATTTTAGTATGTTTTCCTCATATTTTATATCAATTAAACTGTTTTGTTTATTTGGGGTTTCTTCATAAGAAAGTATTATTATCTTTGTTTGAATAATGGTGTAAAAAGAACAACTTTCTAGAGAATGACAACTTCTGGTAAGGAAAGAGGAAGCGAGGTGAAGCAGCCTACATCACAATGGTGAACATTGTGTGAGCTGAAACCATCTTCACAGGTTAGATAAGTGTTTCCCTAGCTTAGGAGAGAAGCTTCTCCTGAAGGAGAAACCTGTTTACACAGCCTCTCCATCATGTAAGACGTGGCTGAGCTTGAGAAAAGATTCTCTACTCACCAGGCTCGGCTGAGCTCTGTCGCATTCCCTGTGCATGCCCTTCCTAGAGTTTGTGACTTGCTCTTCAAACACCCACCACCGTGGAAAGCCACCTTGCCATTCCCCACCAATGTACTGCTCTCTCCTCAGTTCCCATCTTCCCTGTAACCATCTGCCTAAGTCTTTGCCACACTAGATAGAAAAAGTGGCTGGAATAGAAGAATCAAGTCATTTTGGACATGAAGCTCGATGGGCCTCTCACTTTACACAGCTCAAAGTTTCCCTTCTCTAATAGAGATTCCCAGCCATCACCTCTTATTTTTGTATCTTTTCTTGGAAAGGGAGTTCTCAACATTAAAGACAGGAAGAATGAAAGAAAGAGAGAGGGGAGAGGGAGGGAGGAAGGGAGAAAGGGAGGCAGGGAGAGAGGGAGGGAGGGAGGGAGGGAGGGAGGGAGGGAGGAAGGGAGGGGGGAAAGAGAGAAAGGGGGGGGGGGGGGGGGGGGGGGGGGAGGGAGGGAGGGAGGGAGGAAGGGAGGACAGAAAGAGAGACAGAAAGAGAGAGAGAGAAAATCAGTTTAAAGATTTTGTCTGTTTGCTTATTTGTTTGGGTTTTTTTTTTTCTTTACTAAGTAACAGATAAGTAGAACTATGGCCTAAATTGTTCCAATTAAAAGAGAGTAATGACATTATGCCCATTGCCTCCCAGACGAATCTGAAGCACCTCCTAGCTACCCCTTGCTCACTATAGAGCCTGATCACACCAATGCACCCATATAAACTGAGGCATCCAGATCACACCAATGCACCTATCTAAACTGGGCCTCCTGATCACACCAATGCACCCATCTAAACTGAGGCCATACTTATGATATCCATAAATCACAGTAGATTTCTGTTACCTGATTTCCTAGAATTTCCTTATTGCTCTTTCAGCCCATAGCATCCTCCCTGAAAACATCATATTTGAAGAGCGTGTTGGGGGGGTATTCTTCAGGGTTTATGCTCAGACTGTATGACTGTCAGTATGTGAAAAAGGTCACATTATTAGTTTCATCACTTAAGCTAAACCAATAAGTGGGTGAAGCACCTAGGATGAATCATGTCTGACGGGTAAGTAATGAAGATGCGGTAGCCCCAAAGGCTCCCAGTCCCTCAAGGCAGGGCTTGTTCCTTCTATAAAAAGCCAGCGTGAAGAGGATGCCACACCAGATCCCAGTGACCACACTGCCTATTCTCTGCATCCTGCACACCAGGTAAGCGTCTCTACATGGATACTTCACCATTTACTTTATGCATTTATGTAACTTTTTACTGGTGCCTCGTTTGCATTTAGGGTGTCTTTTTTTCTCCTCTTACTGAAATTTAGTTGTAGATATAAGGCAGATGAATCACCTGGATTGCAAACCGTAAAAACTTTCCCTTAAAAGTAGTCACGATTGAAGGAACTTTAGACGTAATTGGTGTGTGCCACCAGTCCTCGCTGTGTCTGTGTCTGTGTAAGAACACAAGCCTATCACACTTCTAGTGACATCATTTCTTTATCTGCAAGTTTAACGCTGAGAATTTTATTCTTTCAATAAAAGCGTTTGTTAGAGTTTGCTGTATCTGGTGTTTTGAACTGTAAAGGGTAATTTAGAGAAGGGAGAATTTTCTCTATAAAACTGCATCTCAGTTAGAAGAAAAGGAACTAAAGGCAGTACTGTGGGGGGGTCAGTGCCAGGAGACAGAGCAGGAGCTACGGCAAGATGGGAAGGCAAGAAAAATTTCCTAAGTTCTTGCTCTAGGAAAGCTGCCTAAAATTGGCAGAGCAGGTGATCTGTGGCAGTTGGGCCAGTCTGAGCAAGCAGGTGGGAGTGGAGCACCTGAGACGGAAGAGGGTGTGAGCCACATGTGCTGGCGAGGTGGTCTGGAGGACCACAGGTGTTCTACAGGTGACAAACATCTTACTTATTGCAGATGAGCAGTGGGCTGTGAGCATTTTAATATTCTTATTTTCCACATGCCGTGACATTTCCACATGGGCCAATGGCATCAGTCTCATATTCCTGCTGAAGCCCTCTGCTATGTTGCCAGCTGTGCCTTATGATAGGGAGGAAGAGGGGGGAATTGGAAAAACCAGCTAGTTTAGAACCAAACTTATCACTCTTAAGGACCCTCATGGCAAAGAACCCTCTGTGGTAGAGAGAGAAAGGAGGAGCTCTACTTCTTCATGCATTGGAAGTGGCATTGCCAGTGGTTTCTCATGAAGCCATTCCCTCTGTAAATCATCTATTCTGTTTCTAGGCCCAGCCATCTTGGAAGCATGAGTTCACACCAGCAGAAGCAGCCCTGTGCAGAACCACCTCAGCTGCATGAGCAGCAAGTGAAACAGCCTTGCCAGCCACCACCTCAGGAGCCATGTGTCTCCCAAATCAAGAAGCCATGTGACACCAAGGTTCCTGAGACCAGCCACCCCAAGGCTCCTGAGCCCTGCCACCCCAAGGCCCCTGAGCCCTGCCACCCCAAGGCCCCTGAGCCCTGCCACCCCAAGGCCCCTGAGCCCTGCCACCCCAAGGCTCCTGAACCCAGCCACCCCAAGGCCCCTGAGCCCTGCCACCCCAAGGCCCCTGAGCCCTGCCCCTCAACTGTCGCTCCAGAACTAGCGCAACAAAAGACAAAGTAAAAGTAATGTAGTCCAAAACTGCCTCGGGGAGCTAACCACAGGAGGGATGCTGAGCCCCACCCTTGCATCACAGTCCCATCTCTCATTTATACCTGAAAATAAAGTACTACGAAGCTTTTTTGCCTACATATATGAGGCCTCTGAGTCTCTGAATTCAACTGAGATCTTGGTTCCTGCACTAGTTTGTCTACTCAAAATTCTTCTGAAGAGGGACCAAGATGCAAGTGATTCGCTTCTGTGATTTCCCCATTAAAGCTCCTCCCACTCCTGACTATAAATTGTTGTCTGACTCAGTGACTTCTTCCTTTTCCTCACAAAGCAAAAGCTACTCACAGACACAGGAGAGCATACAGGGGCTTCCTTAAGTTGACACCTGACCCTGGCACTATCACCCGACCCTGGCACTAAGCAGTCCTGGCCCTGGCGGGTGGATGCTCTTCCCACTGAGGATGCCTAGGGTGCCAGAGGAATGTTATGTAATGCCATCAGAGGCTTTTGCTTTGGACAAGTGGGACTAGAGGAGGCTTCTCCTCTTACAACTCCAAGAGTCATTCTGGAGTTTAATTAGTACCTGACCAAGCTAAATCTGACATATCTAAACCAAGTGCTCTGTCCCCAAAATAGGCCAGCATATCCAACTGCTTCTGTTCCCTGCAAGGAATCTTCTAGCAGATGTGAATCTCTCCCTTCTCGTTCATTTCTTCTGTATACCCACAATTCAAATCCCCCCCCCAACAAATTCTAAGACTTATCTCAGCAAGTCCTCTTCTTGCTGTGTCAGGGAATATCTTAGAGGGATGTGTTTTGCATTCCACCCCACCATCCAAAACACACACGCACACGCTCTCACACACTCCCATATACATGCACACATATATACATATCATGCACACATATGCTCATATACTCGCATATACATGCACACATATGCTCACATTCGTACATACAAGCACATTCACATACAGACTAACACACACATGCATGCGCTCACATGCGCATTCATCCATACACAGTCTCTTTTTATCTTTCTCTCTCTCTCTCTTACACACTCACACACATACACTGCAGTTCTCATAGAGTAACAAACAAAACCTGGTTTACCAAATGCTCAGGCCAGAGCTTTATCTGAACAGAAGGAAAACTTATATCCCACCAGAAAACATGAGCCATTTCCAGGAAGCTAAGTGAAACTTCAGTTGCCCATGTGACACAGTTAGCGTTGCATGTCACAGACAAGTGTCTACAGCAATCTGTTGACCGTGACAGAGACTTATACATACATCTCAACTCTAGTCTGAGTTTCAGAAGTCTTGACGTTCTCGTTTCCGGGTCGGGAGGCAGCGGAACTTTGGTTCACTTCTGAGTAGACATCTTTACAGGCAGAGTGCGGTTTTGGTTGGTGTTGGCCCAGCTAAGGACACTGCAGAGGTGACACCTGGAACTAAGGAAGGGGCATTTCATTGAGGGAGGCTTTCAAGAAAGGCCTGAATCTAAGCACACTGGAATAAGATGGAAATAAGACTCTGAAGTAAGCACACACAAGGTGCCCAGAAGGGAGGTTGACCCGCCCATGTCTCAGGAAATTAAATAAAAAGCGTCCATTGAGAACATTCACAAGAAAATCTGCCCTACACTTTGAGTAAGTGGAGGCCCTGGTAAAAAGGCAGACCTTCATTCGTTCAATCCCCAGGAATGGTTTGTCTCTCAAACACAATCGCTACAAGTCTTCCTTTCTTTCATAGCATCTTCCTATGGATTTACCCCCTCACACACACCCTATGTTTTCATAGCGTCTTCCTATAGATTTACCCCCTCACACACACCCTATGTTTTCTTTCCTCGTGATACAGCAGAAAATTCCACTCTCGTTTAGAAGCAATAGTTAACATTTATTATTAGATGTCTACACAAAAGGTCTCCAGAAAGGCACCAACTTTTTTTTTTAATTTTAAATTTCTTACTCATTTTGTCTACCAATCACAGTTTCCCTCCCTCCCCTCCTCTGACTTCACCTCTCCCAACCTTCCTACCCACTTCTCCTAAGGGCAATGCCTCCCATGGGAGTCAACAAAACCTGGCACACTCAGTTAAGGCGGAACCAAGGCCCTCCCCTTGCATCAAGGCTGAGAAAAGCATTCCACCATATGGAAGGGGGTCCAAAAAGCCAGCTCCTGCAACAGGGATGGATCCTGGTCCCACTACTAGAGGCCCCCTCAAACAGACCAAGTTGCACAACTATTGCCTGTATACAGAGGGCCAAGTTCAGTCCCATACAGGCTTCCCAGACATCAGTCTAGAGTCCATGACTTCCCACTAGTGTAATTCCTTTAGCCACCCGTAAGGCTACACTTCCGGGTTCTGAGGCCAATACAGGTATCCCAGGTGCACATGCGTGAGTCGCCCGCCATCTGCATCACCAGCGTCTGACGTAGAAGGCTCCATATGCAGGCGCAGGGTATAGCGTTTGTTGCCTGGCGTCAGCGTCTGATGTGGGCACGCCTTTCCCCCTCATGCGCATGTGCTGGGAAACCTTTAAAAGCTAAAGGCACCATTCCCACGCTCTCTTCCTCCCCTTCTGTTCACTGTTTCCCCACCTCGTCTGCACAGATCTTCTTAATAAACTTATACACATTGGTTTGTTTCTGTCTCATGCTCTCTCCTCATCTCTGCAGGACATTTTAACTAGCTCCCTTAAGATGTCTCTGTGGGCTTCTCCATCATGATCTCGACCCCTCTTGCTCATATAATCACTCCTCCCTCACTTCGACTGGACTCCAGGAGCTAGGCCCAGTGCTTGGCTGTGGATCTCTGCATCTGCTTCCTTCAGTTACTGGATGAAAGTTCTATGGTGACATTTAGGATATTCACCTATCTGATTACTGGGGAAGGCCAGTTCGGGCACCCTCTCCACTATTGCTAGGAGTCTTAGCTGGGGTCGTGCTTGTGGGTTCCTGGAAATTTCCCTAGCACCAGTTTTCTCTCTAACCCCATAATGACTCCCTCTATCAAGATACCTCTTTCCTTTAAGTCTAGTATCCACTGATGAGTGAGTACATACCGTGTTTGTCTTTCTGGGTCTTTCATCCTCATTCGGGATGTTTTTTAATAGTTCCATCCATTTGCCTGCAAATTTCAAGGGATAAACAGCCTACAGTCCACAACCCCAAAGAAGCCAGGAAACGAGGAGGACACTAAGAGAGAAGTACATGGATCCCCCTGGGAAAGGGCAATAAAGATTTCCTGAGTAGAGTGGGACTGTGGGGGAGTGTGCAGGGTGAAAGGGGGTGTGGCATAATGTCCTGCTGACCTGGCACCAGAGGGCGAGCAAGAAACCTCCACTAGCCCCTGAAACCCAGCTGGGCTATACCTGGCCTGCCTCCGGAGTTTTCACACACTCTCTCGGCCTTTCTTTGTGTTACAGATACATTTTGTTCCACTGTGAATCTAGACTGAGAGTTTCCCATGGATACAACGCCGATGCAAAACTAGGCCTAGAGGAAACCTGGAAAACCATGGTACCTCATGAATCAGGTATTTGCACCTGGCATTGTATTGTCAGAAGCTTCCATCAGTTTGTTTTAAGATATAGAAATCTACTAACTAAAATGTAAATATAGGAAAAAAATAAAGATGTGGGAAACGTGCTTCAGTTCACCGCGACTGAGCCTCCTGCAGCCGCAGAGGCTAAGTTCAGTCTCACGTGTCTCTCAGTCTTCATTTCACCATCTGCATAAACCCACACATCTGAAATATTCGCAACATGGGGGAGAGGAGAACCTGAGAGATTAAGAAGACTGAGTTGGGGGAAGAACAGAGAGGGGGAGCAAGGAAAGAGATATCTTGATAGAGAGAGGGTTAGCGAGAAACCTGGCACCAGGAAAATTCCCAGAAATCCACAAGGATGACCCCAGCTGAGAATCTAGGCAGAGGGGGAGAGGGTACCTTAACTGCCCTTCGTCTGTAATCAGATTGATGACTGTTGGGCGGGACTTCACCCCAGCCCCTGGCATCCGTTTTGGAATGTTGAGTGGAAAGCTCCATTTCAAGCCACCTCCCCAGGGAGTTGCCACAGTCCAGACCACACCTCCAAGAAAGCCCAGCAAACAGTGACCCCTTCCCAGGGAGGGTCAAGACCACTCCCAAAGGCTATTTAAACTGGCCCTCAGAGACCAAACACATTGTAGTTCTGGTTCACCTTTCCCCTCTTTGTGTTTTCCCGGAGGTCCACCCAGGAATGCTGGCATCCACTGAACCTGGGCTTCTTCTAATTTGATCTGATATGGTCTAATTTGAATTATTGCATAGACTTGTAAAAACGGACACTTGCAATTTGAGGCCTGATCTCCAAACACCCTTGGGCTGCTTTTCACAAAAAATCATTTAAGATGGGGGTATCTAACATCCAACATAAACCAAACAAGGCTTCATGTCCATGGTTTCTGGATGCTGTGCTTCCGCTCCCACTCTCCTTCCCTGCTCCCCTCCCTGCTTCTCTGGCTGTTTGCTGTTTGTCTCATGCTGGGACTCTCTATAATGGATCTGCTCTCCCCCCTTTCCCCCTCCCCATCCTTCCACTCTAAAACTGCATAGGTGTTCTGTCCTTTATTTCTGTTCTCTCCTGCAGCATCTGCTAATCTAATCCTTAATGGGACCACCTGTGTGCTTCCCTGGCCTCTGCCACCTATACCAGGGTTTTTAAGTTAGTCAGCTGACACAGGTTTCTAAAAAAATTTATTTATCTGTCTGTTAAAATAATGTGGTCACACTATGCTTTTATGTCTATGTGTGTATATATGTTTGTTTCCAAAGTATGCTTGTCTTATTTCTCCGTGTGTATTTGTGTGTGTTTTAAGATCTGTAAAGCTTATAACTCCAAATTAAAACATCTCTGGAAAAATACAAACTCATGGGTAGCCTCCATTTTGACCTCAGCTTCATCTTGGATAAGAGTACTCACATGTGTTAGTTTTGACTTATTAATTCCTTTTAATCTTCTTACATTTACTAGAATTGGTAAACTCTAACTAATTAGGTAAAATACATGTATAAATTTATCTTATATGTCTAATTTAAATATAACTAACAGGTAATGGTACTCAACACTCAAGTGCCTTTATAGATCTGAGAGTATGGCATTTAACAAAAGAGCTTTGAACACAGACATGCCAGCTCCTGCAGCATCCTTTAGCTCCTCTAAGAAGATATATGGTCACAAAAGACCTTCTGCCAGGAGGCTTGCCTTTGGGTTTGGCAAAGCCACCCACACAGCAAAAAGTAGCCTTCTACCTTATTAGCCTCCTGGATGCTACACTGGGGATGATTGTCTCATCCTGCCAAAACAGGGAGACTAAATCTTCCCCCCAAGGAAAATCTTTGGACCTCTTGTACTCAGCAGCTAACAGCAAGCATTGCTTCTAAGTCTGGTGTTCTCCAAAGATTACAAAGAGACTTGGGGTTCCCTATGTAATTAAAAATGTTGTCTCATTTCTGCTCATTTATCCCTCTTAGATTTGTTCAAAGACATTTGATGACTTAAAGTAGTGGTAGTTCATTATCTCAGTTATTAAATTTCCTGCTAAAAATACAGACAGGTGTGCCTATTTCAGCAAGAGGTATGGTTGGAGAAGCATCAGGTTTACTGACATCCTGGAGACCTCAGGACTCTGTTTCTTGAGGGAGATGAGAAGGCAGGTGTCTAGGAGAAAAAAATATATTAATATTGGCCCTATGAATGGGGCTAGTGGTGGGAAGGGTCATTAACTGCAAGAAAGAATGGGACAGAGAAGTGCCCTGGTTGTACCGGTAAGGATACATCTGAAACCTGTTAATCCTGGACTATGAAACCTGTGAAATAGGCATGCCTGTCTGTATTTTTAGCAGGAAATTAAAAATTCACAAGTGGTGTTGGCATAACTGGATGTCAGCAAGTAGAGGAATGTGAATAGATTCATATCTACCACCATGAACAAAACTCATGTCCAAATGGATCAAAGACATCAACTTAAATCCAGCTACACTAAAACTGATGGAAGAGAAAGTAAAAAGTAGCCTTTAATGATTGGCACAGGGATCCACTTCCTAAATATAACACCAGTAGCACAGAGACTGAGAACAACAATTAACAAATAGGATCTTCTGAAACTGAAAAGCTTCTGTAAGGCAAAGGACATGGTCAACAAGACAAAACAAGAGCCTACAGAATGGGAATCCTCACCAATCCAACATCTGACAGAGACTAATCTCCAAAATATATAAAGAACTCAAGAAATTAGACATTAAAATACCAAATAGACCAATGAGTCTGAGATACCATTTTATACCTGTCATAATGACTAAGATCATAAATACTGATGACAACTTATGCTAGAGAGGATGTGGAATAAGGAGAACACTTCACCATTGCTGGTGGGAATGCAAACTTGTACAACAACTTTGGAAGCCAGTATGGCAATTTCTCAAAAAATTTGAAATCAATCTACCTTAAGACCCAGCAATACCACTCTTGGGCATATACCCAAAGGATGCTCAATCATACCCCAAGGATATGTGTTCAACTGTGTTCATAGCAGCATTATTCGTAGTATTCAGAACCTGAAAACAATCTACATTATCAACTTTATAACATGCTGATCAACTTCCCAAGAACACTTTCATCACCCTGCCCTTTGCAACACCTATTAGAGAGGTAACTCAGCTTCCTTAGGCTGGGCTCACACTCTGCGGAGTTCGAATGATTCAGGCCTATCTTTGGGCACTTCTAATATAACAACCTTAGCAATATTGTGGTTATTGTAGTTTAAACTTAATAGAAGACTCATCCACTTACAATCCCATGTGGACACACAAGACCACAATATGTAAGAACTAACTTGGTTAGGAGGCTGGGCACTTGGTAACTGATCTGAATAGCAGCAGTGACTGCAAATCTTATTAACATTCAAAACACCAAAATCTTTCACATATGGAGTCAGAAGACTTAAGCAAATAATGGTAATAGGATGTGGCCATTTTGTGGGCTGTTAGAGAAAAAAGGTGACGTGTGTATAGCGGAGACAGAAAAATCTTCCACCTTGGTCCCCTTCCTTCCTTTTATTATGTAATCCCTACATTTTAAGGACTGTTAGGAGTATGCACTGGCACTCTACCAATTCCTCAAAACTTCATTTTCCTGAAATATTGAATAAAAAATCGAGTTTGACTAGGAAATAAAATGTTAAGAATAATACATTTAAATCGTATTTTCTGTACCAGTTACAAATAAGTCACATTTGAATAACTTATACATGTAAGTAACAATGGGCAGGGACTGCTGATGGCTATTTACTAAGAGCTAATTCAGTCTCAGGCATTATGGTAACCTAATGAAAGAACTGAGAACTCTGTGCCCAGAACAAATTTATGGTGTGCATGTTAGTCTTCTGAACTGCGGAAAAGGAACTGAATTCCTCACTACTTAAATAATTTGCTCCTCAAAAGAACCAAATAATACTTGAAGACAATAAGAAGAGCTTGAAATATTTTAAAAATAATGCTTACTATGGCCTCAAATTCAAAGAAAATTGATCATTAGGGTTTTGCCTAGCATTCCTTGCAGTTTGACTATAAATGCCCTCCATAATTTCATGTGCTTGAATCGGGAGGTTAGAACTGTTTAGAAAGTTGTGGGGCTTAAAGAAGGTGGAACTTTGCTGGTAACTGAGAGTGGGGTTTGAGGTCTTACAGCATGGCCCACTCATTGTCTGCTCTCCACTTCGTGTGTGTACCTGCCACCATGCCTTCAATGGCATGACTGTGTCTTCTCAGTCTGTAAGCCAAAATAAGCTCGTTGTTCCTTAAGTCACTTCTTGTGAGTTATTTATGTGCAGGAAAAATAAAAGTAAATAATACAGAATAAGAGAAAAAAATCACACTACCCATAAGGAAAGTTTTCAAAGAAATAACATCTCTATACCATCACCAAAATTGTGCTTTATTCAGTAACAATGGTGACAATTATCTAAGCTGTAAAAGCCCCTGCCCAGGTGACAGGCAGACTGGAAAGGCTCCTTGGAGGGCACTGGGGTAACACCTGCTGCTCTTCCCTCTGTGTATCTGGGATGCTGTGCCACAGAGGAAGGATCATTCTCAGCAGCCCCTTGATGGTAGAAGGAGAATAGTCTCATGGAAATATCTTCCCTATCAGCGGTCATCTTTGGCATATCAGGGGTGAAGGGTGAAAAAGATTCTCCAAAATTCATGACAGGTTTTGAAGGAACAGTAGATGAGTTGCTATGGAACTAGGTGAGATGGAGTCCATTCTCCTGTCTTGATCCTGGTGACTGCTGAAGCACTCACATGTTCTTCTGTGGGCACTTCGGCTGGCAGGGTGGAGGAGGTTGCACATGAGGGCTTTTTTGCTGACATGGCTGAGAGGGGCATGGCTCAGGGCACTGTGGAGGAGGACAGGGCTCAGGGCACTTTGGAGGAGGACAGGGCTCTGGGCACTGTGGAGGAGGACAGGGCTCTGGACACTTAGGAGGAGGACAAGGCTCTGGGCACTGTGGAGGAGGACAGGGCTCAGGGCACTTTGTGGGTGGGCACACAGGAGGAGGCTGGCAGGGCTGCTTGCACTGCTGCTCTTGGTAAGACATCGTGCTGAAGGCTCAGGATCTGAAAGACATTACATAGCAGTTCTCACAAGAGGTGATTTTCATAAAGAAAACTGGTCTCTAAGATTTTGAACAGTAATTCTCTCACATACAATCAGTACTCCAAATTCTTTGTGTTTTAGGACTTCCTACATTTTCCCTTCCAATTTAGTGTTTTGTTTCATTTAACTTTGCAGATCCTTCTTTGGTTGCATTCCCCATACCCAAAAACATCTGTTTTAAAGAATATAGTGTTTCTTGCACAAAACAACATATTCAATTTCTGAAACCCTAAGTAATCTCAAAACCAATCCTTATCACCATTAGTGCCTGTAAAATCCCAGACAGAGCACGGGTTTCACATCAGAGGACAACTAGGAAAATTCAAGGGTCTAATGCCTGCCAAGAGATAGGCCATTGAAAAGGGCACCAAAACGTAAGAAAATAAAAATACTCTGCTCTGTCACCATCTTCAAAGCAATCCTTCCCTATTGTCTTGGTTTTCCATAGGGGCATCAACCACCTATACACAAAAGCAGAAACAAGCTAACACAGTGTGGATCACTCCGCCATGTTGCTGAATTTCAGATTGGTAACTAACATTCAACCCATGATCACAGTTTGAAATCACCAACCGTTCTCTCTAAAGTAAACTACATGAGAAGACCATAGACAGACATCCATTCAGGAGGTCAGACTCACCAGGTTCTCTGTAGTCTGGGGTTTGAATAGCAATGGTGTTAAATTTCTTCATCCAACTCTTTTTTTATAGGACTGGCTGCCCCACCCAGTAGGACGTAGAGCCGCTAGATGGTGAGCTGGTCCAACAATTTCCTAACTAAAATGCAAATCTGGGTATAACTGGCTTAACCAGGACTCTCCAAAACAGGAAATATCCTGTCCCTGGACATAGTCACTGGGACGAGTGCAGTGACTCAGAGGTCATTCCTTCTTTCCTTCTTTCTTGGTTTCAGTCTTTTGTTGCAGCTGGAGAAACTGGGATGTAGGGCCCTGGTCTCCCTTATTCCTGGGGTGCATTCGCGGGGACAGTTTATGATCAGCTAACTAAGCTTCCTGTGTGTTTCTGTGCTCTCCCTTCCGGGCCTGGTGGTTAGCTGCAGGGCATTTACTCCATTGTTAATATGGTAATTTCCCACCTGCCTGGGCAGAGATCCTTGTGCTGCAGTTAGGTAGATAAGGATTCCCCCAATGCTGAATAAACTGGCATTCGGCTGATCTCCTTTCAAATGACCCTGGTCTCTGTGTGTTCTTTCAATCTCCAGGCCCTTGCTTGACTTGCGTTCAGTACTGTAGTGAAAGTGTAACACAAAATCGGGTGTTACACTGAGGATTTTCCACCTGGTTGCCCAAAATTGTCTTTCTTGGTTTTAAATACTATCTCTTTCATCTTTGCCATATCTGAAAACTGTCTACTTCAACTGCTTGCCACTTTGCAGCATGTGGGCTTATTTATTTTCATAAGACTAAGACCTGGTCTACCTCTTAATCGTGAACTTTGATGACTAGTTCTCAATAAAGCTATATGTAGTCAATGTGTTTGTGAGCCTTGTCTTTTCTCATTCCTTTATTGTTCTAAGAAGACTAACTGTAAATAATACATTACATATTTATTGTTCTAAGAAGACTAGCTGTAAATAGCACATTACATGTTTAAAGTGCCATTGCTAGAGCCTGCTTGCCTTGTTGAAATGGTTAAGAAGTCTCCCAAAGAATCTATGTAATTGAATTTTAACTAAAAAAATAAAAGTGACTATAAAAATAATATCACTTTATAATTAGAGATGGAAGAATAGAATGAAGAAGATGAAACAAAGCCTTTAACTAGCCTCAGCTCTGCTCTAAGAAGCACACAGGCACTGAATCAACACCAATGAAGCATGTCTTCTGACAGTAAGGAAGGGTTTAGACGAGACTGCCCTTGTCCATGTCCCTATAGGGAAAGAATCATCAGTTCAGCACCTGAGGCTAGGAAAACCCACTGATGGATGGCTCACATAGGCTAGTGCACATACCACAAGGCAAAGTCAATAGAATTCATTCAGCAGGTCAATTACTTCTCTCCGTATCCTCAATCACATCCAAAGCATCGTCTGAGAAGAAAAAACAAAGTCTGACTTATGATAAACAAAGTAAGAAAATTATCTGGCCATCTGGGATTGGAATGTCATATAGCATCATCTAAGTTACTCTTGAGACTCTTGTTCTAGACACCTCATAACAAAGGGAATAAAAGGTTAAAGGGGAATGATGGAATAGGAAGGATTAAGTTAGAATTGGAAGTCAGGATAAAGGAGGGAATATAGAGAAGGATAACTAATGCTAAAAGCCAGTTGATAAAGCCATTTGGATGCCTACTGCCATATAAGCTTCCTAAAATGTATACACATACATATGTAAAAAAAGTTTTAATAGTGTTACCTCACAATGGGAGCCCAAGTACACTTGTCACCTTAGGCTGGCAAATAAAAACTCCAGAATTATCTCTATTGTACAATTCATCAGCAGGGTCCCATAGACTACCAAGTATTATAGGCTATTGATAATACTCTTGGTTACTCTCCAGAACTCTATTGTTTGACCCTCTGCCTGGCACTGAAGACACTACATGCTTGAGACACAGAATAAGGAGAGAGAAAGCAAACACTCAGCTGGAAACCTTGTACTAACTAACTCATGACTCTGGAGTTTCGTAGGCATGCTTTCAGAGGATGAAAATCATCATCAGTCTCACCCATCTGTGAAACCTATGAGTTATAATGACTGGCCTGATGACATATGCTCACTGGTGCAATTGTGTCAGGAATGTTATGGGAGCAACCAACTACTTTCTGATTATATCTAAAGACTTGCTCAATGAGAAGGAACCAATACCTGCTTTTGGTACTGTTAATGCAGCCAAGAACCTGTGACTGAGTAGGTCACAGGCCCTAGGGGAGAAGGCAATATTATTGTTCTGCTAAATGGGCATATCATTGAAATGATTCCACACAGCCTATTGCTATACCCATAGATCAGTGTATCACTTGTTCCTCATCAGAGAACTTTTTCTTGCAATATGGTAATTAACACCAAGTTACTCAAAAGGTCAATGTACAGAGAATAGCAGCTTTAAGCATCCTCAGTATTTTCTACATTGTTGGATTGAGTGGGAAGATTGTAAGAATCAGAGGTTGTGAGTAACATCAAGGAAACAGTTTTTCCCAAACACATATTACAGTTTTACATATGAACCACAGCAATTGGGGGGTAGCATGGACAAAATCTATGCAAGCTCAAGCCAGACAAAAAACTCAGCACAGAGAAATGAAGGTGGCCATTTGCATTTGACAGCTACTGGGAAACAGATGTTTTTTTTTTTTTTTTGATGAGTTGACTCCATGTAGGTTGATGACACTCTAAGATAGGTCACAGTGCCAAGACTCCTTGAGCACTACAATCTGAACTTGGTAGACAGAGGGAAGAAACTACAAGTTGGGTTTGCAGTGAGGGAAGAGTGGAGAGGGTTGATAGAGGAGTTGGTAGATGAGGGGATTAATGTAAAATTACAAATCTAAAATAATCAAAAAATTAATAAAGTATTATTTTAAAGAAATAATACCCAAAAGAGAAGTGTCATGTTTTTCCCAGAAGTTGAATTTAGGGGTGAAGGTTAATATACTCTTATACCTATATTTAAATTTCATGATGAAACTTTACTCTTTACAAAGATACTTACTAATAAAACAGTTTTTAACATAGGGACTACTAACCCTGAAAGCACTGGCACCAGAGTCGGGGCAGCCTAAATCTCCTTCCAGGATGAGACACACATAGAAGTTATGATGGAGAAAGGTCATTGGTTAAATAAATATACTGCCTTGGCCCTGATAGGACAGAAAATTAGGTAGGCAGGGTAAACAGAACAGAATGCTGGAAAGAAGGGAAGTGAGCTCAGACACCAAGCCTCTCCACTCCAGGGCAGATGCAATGAAGCAAGCCACCAGGTCAGACATGCTGAATCTTTCCTGGTAAAACTGGTGCTACACAGATTATTAGAGATGGGTTGATCGGGATATGAGAATTAGCCAGTAAGGGCTAGAGCTAGTGGGCTAAGCAGTGTTTAAAAGAATACAGTTTGTATGTTGTTATTTAGGGGCATGAGCTAGCCAGGCAGCCAGAAGCAGGGTGGCAGGAATGCAGCCTGCAGCTCATCTCAACAAAGTTAAGTTCCTTTCAAAGATGTTCCATGAAGAGCAGTCACAGAAGAACAAGATCACACAGCACACTTTCTTCAATATGATCCTCCAATATCTGAGATATGGAACGCATGAGTGTATATACGTGAACACACACTCACAAAAACACAAAGGTCCTTTCTATCTATCATCCATCAATTAGACAAACATATAATTAACTTAGATTTCCTTCTTGTTTTCTAAGGAATTTTATGAATCGATGTGTTTGTCAAAAAATGGGAAGCATGGCGTTTTTCTAAATATTTTTCCTAAATATTTACTGTCATACTCATAGTCAAATATTAATCCCACGCTTAATCAAAGAAGCCTCTCTCTGATATGAACACGGATGTGTGCACAGACATGCAGCTTCTAATAGACCTGAGAGTGGCAAGTGAGAGCTGACTGTTCAGACACAAAGACATGTTTATACTATACTACCCTCTCTAAAGTTTACAAATCATTGCCAAAGTGGGACAGAAAAATATAAGAACTGAAAGATCCTGAGCAGAGCTGTGCAATTCTCTCTGGGTCAGCCAGATCACTCATGACCTTATAACATGTACATCCACCTACAATGGGCCTAAACAAGTTTGGATCTATCAAAGGTCAATCGAGGGTCAGAGCTGGGCTAGTCAACTTAGCATTGCTTTTATGCATATGTTTGAAGACTGACCACTTGGCGTTGGATAACCAATCATGGCACCTATCCTGTGGAAGACTGATTATCCTTCCTCTGTGGTTGTTGCTTCCCTAGAGCTCTTCATT